TATATTTTTAACAGGTAGGGATAGGAAAAGTCCGTTAAAATTTTATAACTTTGTCATCCGACGTCCGTTTTCGTCTGTCTTTTTATCGTTGAGATCCTATTAACGAGATCTTCGATTCTCGTTTAGGTTGTGTCGGCTAAAAATCGTTCGATCTAAAATTCGAACTCCGGGCTGCACACTACTATGCCAAATCTTAGAAAATTCATAACTTCCTCATACGAAGTCAGATTTGGACGTTTTTTTATGCACGCTCTCGGTTTAATGTATACTACGACTTTCGTTTAGATCGTTGAGGCTAATAAGCACTTTATCATAAACTCATTTTTTTACGTCACACAACGTCGTGCCGGTTTTGTCGTGAAACTTCGACAGGTCATAGCTTCTTCGTTATAACTCGTATTTCGACGTTCTTTATATCTTCGGAATCCTTGTCACGACCACTACAACTTTCTTCATAGACATCGGGTTTATCTATATTTTTATTTTTGGCACTTATTTTCATTCTGAATTTATTATGTTTCATAAATAAGTATAATACACATAAAATCACATAATCCACATAATATTCAAGTAATTCCTCTTTATTACTTCAAAATAAGTTACATTTGTTGACCCTAACTATTACATCATCATATTAATGCTTAGCCTCGAAACACGGGCGTTACACAACTAACACCTCATGCCTTAAGCATTTCTTCGAATGCATGAATGGTTTGCTCACCCATGTTAACCTAACCAAACTAGGCCTTGCCCATGGGTCTCACCCACACTATTATACCTAAACGAGCCTCGGCCACGGATCTCACCCAAATCTATCATAACTAGGGCTGTAAACGAACCGAACGTTCAACGAACTGTTCGTGAACCGTTCGGCGGAAAGTTCGCTTATGTTTGTTTATTTAATAAATGAACGAACATGAACATAAATTCTCGTTCGTTTAGTTAAACGAACGAACATGAACAATGGTCTCGTTCGTTTAGTTATGTTCGTGAACGTTCGTTTACGTTTGTTTATGTCCGTTCATATAAGTTCCTTTTATATTCATATATGCTTAATTGTATTTGATTACATTACTATATTATATGTTTATTTATGTCCATATATGTTTGAATTATGTTTGTTTATCTTTGTTCGTTTATGTTCGTTCGTTTATATGTTCGTTTAGCATGCTCATGAACATAAACGAACAAACATGAACAATGCAATTTATTAAACGAACGAACATGAACAAGAAAATTTGTTTGTCTATCCGTTCGTGTTCGTTCATTTGTTCGGCTAACTTAAACGAACGAATATGAACAAGCCTCGTTCGTGTTCATTCGGTTCGTTTACAGCCCTAATCATAACCAAATAGGCCTCGCCCATGGGTCTCCCCCATCTGAGAGCTATACAAGCCTAATACATCATCACAACTCCAAATGTCCTCAATCCCAACAAGGAGTGGTCAACCATAAATAACGGTCCGACTTTGACCCATGCATGCGTTGTGATCCTCCTACAGCCCAACAACCACTTCTGCAATGGTCTAACTCATCTTAGTGAATGCTACGACTCTCATCATAAACTTACAACACTTCCACAACAGCCATGGGCCCAACCCATGGTCTTGCCATCCATCTACCATACCAAACCATAATCAACATGAGTCGAAACCTCATCCGGCTATACCCCAATCAGGTGTTCGGGTCATGTTTTGAACCCCAAAACCTTTATCAGACAAGAGCATACATAGAGGCTCTAACACAACCCTCAAACTGAACCTATTCACATATCTGTAGTGCGTCACTATTGATGTTTCATGTATCCGGGCAAGATAACATGAATCTTCATTCCTTGTGCAAACCTCAATCTATATCGCAACTAGAACTAGCTCTCCCCTTGCCTAGGGTATGAAACTCCTCCTTGTTTCACGCCTGGAATTATTCTCATTAATCCAAATAGTTCTCCCTTTACTTGGATTCAACTGCACTCTGCCAACCTCGTAATCGATGGATTTTGAACCATCTTGCAGCCTTACTGCTCCACTACTATCCTCCTGAGCTTACAAGAGCTAAGATTCCAATACCAAACAACCTAGGGTATCCACTCCCCAAACCGGATAAGACATTTCGCTACCCTTGCAGGAAAACATCGCTACACCCAAAGCCTAAACCCGGGACATGGATTTTCTTTGTTAGGAAACACTTTCAAGACATGTTGCTAAAGCAATTAGAGTTAGATTAGGACTCTTTTATTATTTCTTATATATAGGGATAGTTCGATACTATTTTTTTTTATCTCTTTCATTCCTGTTTTTTTATCAAACACTTTAGTATTTGTAACCCTTCAATTACAAGAGATTAAAAGTTCAAAAGCTATAAAAGATGTTGATCATGTTCTCCGGTGTTGTGAGGTGGCAGCTAAAATATGGCAAAGGTTTTTAAGTGGGTTGATGTTGTACCTCCGGTTACTAATAAACTTCTCCAAGTGGTCTCCTGGCTTGATGGCACTCGTATTAGCCTATCAGGCCTCATTGATCATTTATGTAGGGCTTTTGGTGTTGTGGAGATTTCGAAATGAGGTCGTTTTTGGAGAAACGCCTCTTTTAAGTGACTTATTTGAAAGCATTGTTGATTGTTCCTTTTTATGGTTTTTAGTAGGAACAAGGCAAATGCTTTTTGGAGCAATTGGCTTCAAAATCCTCTTTTGACTTTAGCATTGTAATTGGTTCTTTTCTAGCTTCATGTTAGTTTTATTTATATAGTTGTTCAAAAAAAATGTAGTGTTCTTTCCGATTGTTTTTTTTACTATAAATCAAGTGTTCCTAGTTGATTGCTTACTTTATTAACATTACAAATAGAATAAAGAATAATACTTCAAGAAACCAGCCACACTTTCCGCACTTCCACTTTGAGAGATTCGTATATGGAGAAATACAAGAAAAACAAAGCTGAAAATTTGATGTTAACTACACTTTACGCTTATTTTGAGACAATTAGGTTTGTTTATACAAGTACAAAGCATTTATAAAAAATGCTTAGAATTATATTTCACTGTAGTTTATTGCTGCTTAGTTCTTTATCACTTCTAACAAGATTGATTATATAAGTTTTAGTATATTTAAAAGAATATTGGACCTATCAAAAAGCATTTATACTTGAGACTTGAAAGTTAAATTAAAACTTGAAAAATATTAAACTTTTGGTAGATGTGCAAGATCGAAGATCAATTTAAATGTTGGGGTTTTGTTTCAAAGGTTAATTTAAGTGAGCTCGACTTGTAAAGAGGTTATTTAATTAAGTCAGATTAAATCTTTAATTTGAATTTAAACCAAAGAATATGTAAACGTATTTTTAATTACACATTGCTTTGTAAAGTGACCTTTAGCTTTTATCATAACTTTGGGATAGTTTATTCAAATCTTGTGGTTGAAATTTATCAAAGTTTTAGAACTTTAGTTATTAAAATTGAACATATATGTTTGGTCATTAATATAATGTATGTTCGAATATAATATAATAACATGTAATGTAAACTAGTTATAATACCATTGTTTTGAAATTTTGGTTGCTAATATAAGTTCAAAGCTATTTTTGCAAATATATAAAAGTTAAAACTTATTATTGACAAAAGTCTCTCCCTCCAGTGACGACATTCTCTATCAATCCCTTGGTTTTTTCCACCACAAACATGATTCGACAAGAACAAAAATCAATCAAATCGATTTCTTGATAAAACAATTCATTTTTTTCTTATATGATAGATAAACATGATCCTTTTATTGCATTGTAATGGTCAAAGCCTATTTCTTTAACACCCCAATTTTAACAAAAATGGTATCCATAAAATTTTGATATGATTATCAATATTACCACTGCAACATGAAACATCAGGATAACCAATGTATGTATAACAACACAATATGAATATGTTAACAAGTTACAACAAAACTAGACTCTTTCATCCAATATAATTTATCTTGAATGTTACCATCGCTTGCAAATTGTTCTTGCATATGTGCATCAACAGTAAGGAAGTAAAACTCCACAAGTGATAAGGCATCAGTGGGACATTGTTAAGTTTGTGAGTTTAAAATAATTACAATTGCAGACAAATAGTGCAAATTACGTATAATATAAATTTTAGCTCATTTGTAAGGTAGCACGTATGTGATCTGTATTTCGGGGCAATAATAAGAAATGTCCATGAGGTTTGGTCAATTAATAGGATTAGGTGCCAGAAATATGGGCACATGCTATGCCTTAAGTAAATTGGGTGTATAGATATGACTTAAGAGTACCAGATTTTTGGTATATCATGTTACGATTTCATAATATAATTCACAATACTGAATGTATCATTGTTAGAACATTTTGTGTTTTGTTGTTAAAGTAAATGGCTATAATTGTTAAAGTCTTAAATTTTATATCTTTGATTCAAATCTACAAGTTTACTTTTTGGTTGATGTTCTGTGATTTACCTGTCACATGATGAACATGGGACAGATGAGACGTAAAACAAAATTTGTAATAATTTGTAGAATTAAAATTAAGACTAATGATTTTGAAGTCACTACTTGTGGTTTTGGTCTAGGCCAAATTTAGAACACCTAATCCACAACTGATTCATTTTATTGATTCCTTATAAAGAAGGGGGATTATCCATTTTATAATAATACTTAAAAAAGTAATATATGTTGAATGATGATTGATTTATCAACTAAAACACACCAAAAAGGATTTATTCGTACTTGTTATATCCAAATTGACCAATTTTTTATTTTATTAAAAAAAAAAACTTAATATCTTTATTACTTTTAATTTTGTGAAATAAACTATTCCTTTTGCCTTCTAGAACAAGTCAACAAACCAAAGTTGACCTTACTTTTTTTTTATTAAATAATTGCAATTTGGCTGAATTCCCACCCAATTCACAAACCTATTTCCTCATCTTCCATGATTTTAACTTTTCCTTCACTCTTTCAATTTCAAACAACATATAAAGATTACAAAAGGATTGACTCAAAGATAGTGAAATGCAAGCTTCCTTGTTGACAATTGAGCACCATTAACACACTTACATTACATCCCTTAAAGGGTTCGAAATTTTAATTTGTACGTTTTTTTTTTGAAAAATCCAAATCAAGAAGATTCAAAAATTATAGTTGCAGATGAGTCTTTCACATTAAGGGAATGATTGTGTTCGCTTTCATAAGTCACAATTAGCATCGTTGGATCATCTAAAGCTCTTTCCACGTGTTTTCTTGCAGGACAACCTCTTAAACTGCTACATTTATAATAACCCCTAAAATCCACAATAATCAATACAAGCTAATTAGAATATATTAAAGTAGAAGTGAAATCTGGAAAATCTTGATAACTAAAAATGTAGCATGTGTTAAATAATTGATGGTTGGAATATATGTTGTAATAAATGCAAAATATTTTAAAGTTAAATATAAGAGTTTATCTTGCTGTATTACACAAGAGTTGGAGTTGACATTTTTAAAACCATTGACTTTTAGTTATTTATTTATATGGTTGTTGCCATAAATATTTACCTGATATTCTTGTGATTGAGGATATTTTTGAGATCTTCAATTTAAAATTTCAATAAATATAAAGTCCAAGCAACAAATATAAGTCAATTTCCGAAACTACCCCTCTACAGTCACCATTAATCAAACTGTCTGACTTTTGGCTTTTGGGTAGGCTCCATTGTCCAAGGCTAATTATGTTAATGACAATATTTAATTAGCCCGAGTTAAGACTCGGTGAGGTGGTCAATGAGTGAGTGAGTATGAATCAATGAGTTGACTAGGCTGAGTCAAGATCTTCTCCTGTATACACTAGAAACTAGAAGCATTTACCTTGGATGTGGCGACCCTTTAATCGGCTTTTGGCCGTACTTCCTCCAAGAATAATCGTCCGGCGGTATATCAGCCATCTTCATGCTTATCGCCGGCACTCTCACGACCCTCTTCATCCTTGATTTCCTGCAAAAAAATTCAAGTGTAAAAAGTTTAATCCAATTTATGAATTAGCATAGAGTAACACCCAAATTTAGACAATCGTGGTTAGAATTTGTATGTTTAAAAGGGGATCGGAGTTTAGTACCTCTTTTTGGAACAATGGCAGCGACCGGAAGAATTGGTGCATTTTGTGTGAGAATCATCCACTGAGTTGCATTTCCTTTTGAAAGAAGAAGTCGACATATTCGGCTGGCCCGCGGAAGAAACCTGTGAAAGGTTCGTGATCTGAAATCCAGAAGACATCGACGGTTGTAACCCATCGGTGTCTCCGGTCAACGATGACATAAACGAATTCGCCGGGGAGGCTGCAGCGGCGGCGAAATTGATGGTGTTGGTAGGAACATCCTTCCTATCAAAGGATCCCGATTTCGCCAGATGGATTTGGGGAAACCGCTGCTGAATCGGTGCCGCAGAGGAATTTACCTTCTCCGCCGCCGCTACAACCGTCTGATTGTATTGCTGGCTGCTATTTCCCGCCGTCGGAGTGAATGCCGACTTTTTCTCTAATACAACAGGTGCATTTGAAACAGGTCCACGTCGGAATCGAGCGTGACCGGTGGAAGTCCGATCGAGAAGAGAGATGAATTTCTTAAACTTAGTGACAGCGACATCGGCGACAGCTACGTAATCGGTGGTGGAAGAAGCATCGCTAGTGCCGGCGGAGTACGACGGTTCATGGTGGGATTGGGATGAAAGTAATCCGATTAGATTCTCAAGGCTCTTAAGCCCAGCGGCGCCGGCTTCACGGACGGCGATTTCTTCCATTTTACCATTGAAACTATTGATTCTGATGGAATTCATGAGCTCAACAGCCATATCAGATCAAAAACATTGATCAAAACAATGGACAGTGGTTTCGATGGAGAAAGGGGTAATTTAATTAGGGATGGAAGAGAGTCAAAGAGATGATGCGGTGGGTGCTATCTAGTAAATGACCAAAATATCCTTGCTCGTCTATCTGCAGTCAAAGGTTGAAACCAGTAATCGGTTTACACGTGTAGAATCTTGGGTGGCGAAAATGTCAGAGATTGACCGTTACGTCATGTGTGGCCCAGGGTTATGTTTTTAGAGAAGACCATGGCAACGGTATAGATTTTAATAAAAAGTCAAAAACTACTCACATTCGTTGGATTGTTTTGCCTTCTAAAGGAAAATAATAAATAATCATAATTCATCTAATTTCTATTTCACAAAACTGGATATAACACAGGTTTTCAGTGGTTAATTTCTAGATTTTGACTATTCCAAATACAGTAATTGACTATTCTCAATGGTTAATTTTTTAGATTTTGACATCAACACATAAAAAACTTTTATGGTTACAAAAATAACATGAGCATTTCCAGAAGGATAATGACTTAAAAGGTAACATATTTTTTAATTTGTACGCATTTAGTCGGTGATTATTTTTGTTTATATTTTCTCATTGAACTTGTTGAACTGTTCAAATAACATCATTATGACCTGCTATTCGAGGTTTAGCCGGTTTCCGGCGTATTTGACAACTCCGACGATGCTCCAGTCATCTTTTCTGGCGAGTCTCCGGCGTTCATGATTTTTCCGGCGAAGACGAACATACATACTTCAGATTTGTTTTAGCTTCTATTCTCCCCTTTTTTTTCTTATATTTTCTCATGAACTCAAGATATGTGATGAACACACATACATACACATCAGATGAGTGTATGTGTGTTGTTCCAAAATAAAGCATCAACACATCTGAAAATTGTTCCAATAAACCCAGATCTGATGTTCAAGCATGAACACATACACACAAACACTTCTGGAGATTGTTTGATTTATGTGAAAAAGATGAACACACACATTGATTTTTGATTTCTGTGAAGAAGATGAACACAATTTTTGTTTAAGAACACACATCGTTCAAGAACACACACACGATTTTTGTTCAAGAACACACACATCGACTTTCAGATCTTCAGATATGTTCATTCGATTTTCAGATCTTCATATATCTTCATTCGATTTTCAAGAATACATACCCATAAAAAGACGAACACGAACACACACTCAAAAAAAGATAAACATTAACACACACTCAGAAAAAATCGAAATTTGATGTTCATCATCTTCAACCTCTTCATCGTCTTCAACCCAGATCTAACATCGGATCTGAAATCAAATTATCTCCAAGAACAAATAAGAAATTGATTTTGTGTGTTTTGGGTTCCTTGAAGATGGTTTTCCAAAATCGAGCTTGAAGATAAGCTCGAGTTAGGGTTTTCAAACCCAGAAATCGAGTTTGAAGATATGGGTTTGTGTTCTGATCTAGGTTCGTTTTTTGATCTGGTCCGTGTTTTTCGTGTTCTGATCTAACAAACACACTCAAATCTGAAGCCCTTGTGTTCTTCGTTTTCTTTGTGTTCTTCGTGTTCTTCATGTTCTTCGTGTTCTTCATGTTCTTCGTATTCTTCGTGTTCTGATCTAACACACACATGATGAACAACTGATGAATCAGATAAAGATCTCAAGAACACAATGAACAAACACATCAGAAGATCTTATGTGAGTTCTTGAGTTTGAATAGAAGAAGATGAATAGTTGATTTTTGAGTTTGAGTTCTTGAGTATGAAAATCTAACACCCATATGGGTTTATGTTCAAAATTTGTTCAGATCTAAGAAAGAGACGGGAGATAATAGACCCGAGTTCTTGAGTTCACCGGAAAAATCATGAAAGTCGGAGTCTTGCCGGAGAAGAAAACCGGAGCATCGCCGGAAACCGGCTACACCTACGATTGAAGGTCATAAGGATGTTTTTTAAACGGTTCAACAAGTTCAATGGAGAAATATGTACAAAAAAAAACTCAGTAACTAAATACGTACGAATCGAAAAATAAGTTACCCTTTTAAGTCATTATCCCTTTCCAGAAAAAAGAGAAAAAATTGGCCATTTTATAGATAGTGCATGGTAACCTTTGTGACTACATTGGTTTTCCATCTTTCGTAAATAAGAAGGGTAAATTATACCGTTCGTCCCTCGTGCAGGTGTCAAAAAGCACGTTTAGTCCCTATTTTTAAAAATTAACTCGGAAAGTCTCTTGTTTGTTTTAAACTTACACACTTCATCCCTATTGATATGAAATGACTATTTTGTCCTTAATAATTTCTTTTTTCATTTTTTATTTCTTTATCAGTTTAAATTAAAAAAATAATAATAAAACAAATATCCTCACCCCTCCCCTTCCATTTCCTCAGCTTCCGCAACAAGATTTGAAAGCTCCACCACATGTCACCGCCAGCTCCTCCGACACCACCACCTATCAGCATCAACACCTATGTCACCACATCCTATCACCGCAAACACCTTCCCCTTCCTTTCCTCAGTTTTCTTCTAACTTCGTCTCCTTCTTCTCACCCATTCCTGACAACCATCCAAAACCCCAAATCGGACCCCAAACCACCATCCTCTATCTTCGTTCTCCCCATCTGCCTTAAGAACACTAGAGACCATCACCAATTTCAATCTATCTGCCTCTTGGTGAAACCCAATACCATCCTAATAATCAAATTGATACATACACTGCTTCCATAGAAAGTTATTTCTATGAATCATATCCATCACCATCGAAACAACAATTCAATATTTGAAACTTTAAAATACCAACTAGATTCAATCAACACAAATGACACCCAAAAGCAATCAAAAGCACGAGTTCACGACATCTCATTGCAATTGAAGTCTCAACATATCTTCATCTCAAATTCGAAATAAGTAACCGATCGAAATCAAGTCCAAGATGAATCCATCGAAATAAAATCAAACCTAACATGACCTGAAACTCAAAATCAAAATCAAAATCGAAATCAAATTCAATTTCTAGATTTGATGACAATGAAGGAGGAGGAAACATAAAATCAACATCGAAATCAAGTATTTCTCACTGTATTGTGGTACATCTTCATCTCACCTGTTTCTTTTTCCCTTTCATCAATTCTATCTCCCTCAACCTATTTCTCTCTCAATACAGTGTTACATCTCCATCTCACTTGGATTCTATCTTGATATCGCATCTGAACACATGTAGGTGTGGGTGTGGGTGTGGGTGTGTGTCTGTTTTGGGTTACTCTATTATCTTTGATCAGTAACAATAGCGTGAGGGTTTCAGAAGTGATTGGGGCAGATGGGTTGGGGAAACTGAGAGTAGGTGTTGAACAAGAATGTCGAGAGAGAGAGAGAGAGAGAGAGAGTGAGACGTCGAAGGTAATGGTATTTTGCAGTTAAACTGAGAGAGATAAAGATGAGAGAGGGTTGTTTTTTTTATTTCTTTTTTGTAAGTTATAAATAATAATAAATAATATTAGATTAGTTAAAAAATAAATATCCAAGGGCATTATGGTCATTTTAAATGTGGCGTGGACTAAATTTGCAACAAAAAAGCATATTAGGGACGAAGTGTGCAAGTTTTAAGCAAACGAGGGACGGCCCGAGTTAATTTTTGAAAATAGGGACTAAACGTGCTTTTTGGCACCTACCCGAGGGACGAATTGTGTAATTTACCCAAATAAGAAATACATGGTGCCTTTTGTTAATGATTTTCCATTTTTTGTTATGTGCATTTATTATTTTTTCCCTTTAGAATATTTTAAAATTTTAAAAAAATAAGATCGAATTAAAGCAAAATTTGTTAATTAAATATCTTATAACTAAGAGGAGATGTAAATATATATGGATCAATCATACTTTCAGTTAGTCGATATTATTAATGAGATCACAACATTATATACACCACAACAAAACGGTATCGAACAGGAAAAAACTCAAAATTCAAAGGAAAATAAATAAATAAATTTTATTTTTACTTTATTTCTATTTGAGAAAACTAAACATAATATAGATTTTCAATGAGTTGATTCTAAATTTTGACTATTCTATATATAACTGACTATTCTGAATGGGTTAATTTTAGATTTTGACATTAATACACATAAAAAATGTATGCTTACAAAAGTAACATGATAGTAACACGATGACCATTTCTAGAAAAAAAAGAAAAAAAAAATAGCCATTTTATACATAGTGCATTGTAACCTTTGTGGCTTTCATTGTTTTCCATCTTTCGTTAATAAGAAATACATGGTGCCTTTTGTTAATGATTCTCCATCTTTGGTTAATTAAAGATCTTATAACTAATAGGTGATGACAATATATGGATCACTCATATTTCCGATTAGTCTCTATTATCCATGAGACTACCACATTACATACACCACAATAAAACGTTATCGAACATGAAAAAAATCGAATTTTAAAGTAAATGTTTAACTTGATGTTGTGTTACTCCTGCTTGAGTGATGGTTTTCGGAGAAGTCATGTTAGCGGCTTGCTACATATTAAATGCAATCCCTATGAAAATGAGCAAACCAATCTCATATGAACTTTGGTCAAAGAAAACAGAAATCTCTAGAAAAGTCCTAAAGTTTTGGTCTAATCTATGATCTGGTCCTAAATTAAATTTCATTAATATAAATTGATAGGAAATCAGCTATTGTAATCATTTTAACTCTTTTTTACCTTTTTAGCAGGTTGCTACTGAGGTGGCGCGCCAAGTGGATTGTAGGGCTGACGTGGCAATCGATGAGGCATTTTCTTCCTTTGCAATTTAAAAAATTAGATTTTTAAGAGAAAATAGGAGGAGAGGAACTCGAACCCTTGACCTCCCACTCCAAAACCACACAGCTTACCATGTGAGCTAGAAGCATTTACAATTATTATTTCTTGAAATGTATTTATAAAGTCTTAGAATTAAAATAGTCAACATTATTCCCCTCTAACCTTTCTTCTTCCCTCAATCGTTCTTCCGTCTCCGACTCTCACGTCTCAACTGTGTCGACAACTCCGACGAGTACTCCGGCAACCACCACTACATCCTC